CAGTCAAAGCTCTTCAAAGCAATCAGTGGAATTGGTATTCTGAAATGTTTTCGGTCCAGAACATTTTCGCCACTGAGGTCTGGTTCATTTGTCCCCATGCTTGAAACACTTTCCCTAGTCGAATCGCTCATATTCAAATTGAAAACTATTAACAATTCGAGATAACTGCGGTAATAGCTGAATGATGTTTGGACGCATCGTGCCTTATATATTCATTTTACAACCAAAAAATATAAATAATAATTATATACTATTTAGCTACCAAAGAATATAAATTTTTTGGTAAAATTAATTAACAAAGTGCGGTTTTATAAATACTGTTTTCATTATTTTTTTCATTTTAGATTGTTTTTCAATATAAACAATATATATATATATTTATTTATTTATATATTCATATATATTCAAGTTACTTGTTTGTAAACGTACATTGTGATTTCATTTCAACCGGCCGTGTTCTGTCATTATTTTCCATATTTACAACCCATGTAGCAATATTAAATAATTTTATGTTTTAAAACACCCGAAACAAAATCTAATTTTGTTTTGATAAGGAAGGGTGTGAAAAGACTTAAGGGAGCAACTGGGTTCACCAGTTAAAGAGAGCAACTGGGTTCACCAGTTAAAGAAACTGGGTTGACTAGTGAGGCAGCTTCGAATAATCAGTGCCTCTTCTGGTCCCTAAGAGACTTAACGCGTGATTCTATGCTCATTGGCATAGTTTCAGAAACGTCTTAAGTTCTCAAAGAGTCAGCCTTGGGTTCACCAGTTAGGCAGCTTCGAGTAATCAGTGCCTGTTCTGGTATCTAAGAGACTTAACGCGTGATTCTATGCTCATTGGCATAGTTTCAGAAACGCCTTAAGTTCTCAAAAGTGGATTCAGTACGAGACTCTATGCTCATTGGCATAGTTTCGCACGCGTACTGAAGACACACAATTTGTTACCAGTGTTGTTCTGACTCTTGTTGTCTTGTGTTGGTCGTGCGAAAGCCGATCGACTGACTGACAGGCCCAGTGAAAACAGGCCCTTGGTCGTGCGAAAGCCGATCAGACTTGACGGCCCAGTGAAAC